TGAGCACACGGCGCTGCTTTGAAACGCATTGTAAAAATTGTGAGGAGGGAACTACACACGCTGCAGCGCGGGACTCTTTCCACTTTCCCAAAACGCACTCCCCCAAACCCTTAAGTAGGGCAAACACGCTGCGGCGCGGGATTTGATTTTGTTCACGATTGCTCCGCAATCGTAACTTAAAGATGCTTTCCTGCCCCGCTGATGAGGGCAAAATGTCTGTAAGAGGTTCCCCCCGCGCGGCTGGAAACCGATATAAGCCCGGCCCCGCAACACGAAAGATGAACCAGCTAACACGGCCCCCAATCATTTAAGAACTGCCCAACCCAGCCAAGCACACAAAGCGCACCATGTCACAGCAACAGCAAACCCGAACCCCGAAGGCAGCCCGCCGCCTGCCCTCAAACCTAAACCTCAGCCCAACGGACCTTGAGCACGCCCGCTGGCTGCTCACTCACCTCAAGGCCGGCGGCTCCCCCGACCCGAAGGCCAGCTCCAATCCCCCCGCCGCGCGGCTCGCCCTCTCCAGGGTCCCTGCGTGGATGCGGAAGGCGCGGGAACCGTACCTTGAATCGTGGGTGCACACGACAGAGGTACTCCACAACATGTACGGCATAAAGGACCCCGTGCCCGAGAAGCTAGCCGCGTTTTGCTGACGCAAACGCAGTTGAGAGCTACGCCACCCCCTCCCTCCCGTCCGTCGCCACACTCCACAAGCAAGTCTGTGAACTGGTCTCCAAGGGCATCTGCTGGGGCCGCACCGATATATACCATTCAGGAAGGATCCCCCGGCCCGCTAAGAAGTTTTTCACCCCCCACACACGCAGCATGTAACGCGTTTAAGCTATCCCCTCCCTTTAATGGTTGGCGGGCCCAAGCTGCAAAAATCAATTTAAGATGACCAGCGCGCAGCAGTCCAGCAGGAACGAAGAAACACAATGTCGATCGCCTACGTGTCCCACCTAAGGATTGCGGACAGGGAGAAGAATGTTAAGCATGCCTCCCCGTCAGACTTTGCAGCCCTGCTCAGGGGCCAGGGCTCCAAGCAGCACCACGCCTCGCCCCCCATGTACTGCGAGCGCCTCAAGAGTCCCATGCGTGTCAAGCCGTACTTTGACCTCGACCACTACACGGAGCAGCCCCTGTCCCCCGAGGAGTGCTCCAAGCTGCACGAGGCCTTCACGGCGACCGTCAGGAGCATCATGCGCATGCACTGCCGCGCCGAGCAGCCTGATGCCCGCATCGTGATTGCCACGCGGCACGGTGTTGTCCCTGAGAAGGCTCCCAAGTGCCACAAGGCCTCCTTCCGCGCCTGGGTCACGAACTACGCCGTGGCGGACTACACCCTGATCAAGACCGCTATCGAGTTCGCTGCTGGTAAGGGCGCAATCGCCCGTGACTTCGGGGTTCTGGACATCACCGTCTACAAGGCGAACGAACAGCTGCTCAACTGCGTACTGTGCTGCAAGACACAAAACGGACCGCCGCGTGCTGACCCCGTGCGACCCGGACGAGCCGCTGGAGTCTTTCATCGCGCAGCACCTGACCGGGCAGGAGGAGACCCTCACCGTGCAGGTCCTAACGGACGCACCGCGCGCGGCGCCAACCCCCGCCCCGGTTACATCATCTGCCCCCGTGAGCGAAGCTCACCCGCGCGCCTTGCGCGCGAAACCCGCCGCAACCGACTCCCCTGCGCCTCAGGAGGCTGACGTGCCAAAGCTGCTGGAGCTGCTGGCCAAGGCGCGCTGGGACGACCGCACCGACTGGATCAGAATTGGCACCGCCCTCAAGAACGAGTATGGCGACGCGCACAGGGCCCTATGGATGGAGATGTCCAAGTCCAGCCCCAAATTCGACGAGGCTTCCGCTCACGCAACTTGGGACAGCATCGCGCGCGAGGACTACCAGGGCGCCCGACTCACCATGCGGACAGTGGAGCAGATGGCGGCGCAGGGGGCCCGCTTGCGGACCCGGCGTGCCTTCGCACGCCTGACCCCGTGGGCTACATGGCGCTCAAGGGCGCCAGCGTCCACTCCTTCATTTTGGAGAACTACCGCAAGAAGGATCGTGGCCTGGCGGAGGTAGGCCACTTCCTGCTCAAGGACGTGATCAAGGGGGTGGGCAAGGACACATTTTACTACTACGACAGCTCCCTGACAGCGTGGAAGCGGGGCACAAGGGATGACCTAATCATGCCCGTGTCGCACGCGCTGGAGGAAATGCTCATGGACATGGTCAGGTGCCTGCAGGGCAAGCTGCACGGCACGGCTGCGGTGGACGGCGCGGAGGGGGCCCTTCGCCCGAGGAGGCCAAGACCCGCGCCGC